TTTTTGATGTGCTTAACTCAAAAACGAATAACCATAAGTTCGTAAATACTTATAATATTAACCAAATGTTTGTTTTTTTTTTTTGCTTTTAAGAATATTTTTTTAATGCTTTTTGACCTAGGTATTAAGTATTTAGTATTTATTTAGTATTTTTTTTTCTTTAAATTTCGCTTAAAAAATATTTCACAGGGTTAAAAACTTGAAAATGTAATAAAAATGAAAATAAGTACCTACAGTTTTTTTCGTAGATATTTGAAGTTCAAAGTTGGAAGAATAACAATTTTAGTTATGTTGTWGTAATAATTTAAAAATATTATTATTCAYGGGTACTTGAAACTTTTAAAGTAGCTAGCTATAAACTATAATGTTTTAAATTATACACACTGCGTAATGCATTGTTTTTGGCAAAAATAAATTCAATTTATTGTATTCCTATACCTATCATAAAATATACTTAGTAGGTAATATAAGGCTGATAGGTAAAATTGTTGCCACCTGCAAACAAAAACTAAAATAATAACAATTTACCCGTACTAAATTTCAATTAAAATAATATGATAATTTATAAAATATTTAGTGTGGATATATATTACGTTATAACATATAATAGGTATGTATTATGCATGCACAGTAACAGTTATGTATGCACATAGGTATTATTACAAATGTTAAACATTAGACCAAAATATAATCCGTAATTCATGCCAATGATTGGAGATAATTGTACTTGCAGTCGGTGCCCGTGGAAAAACATAATAATAACCAATGGCAGTCTACTTCGATGAGTCCTGTCGATGATCCTGCGAGGAGTAATCTTCTTCAATCATTCCCTCTTCACCTTCATCAAATTCATATTCCGTGGCCGTATATTCCTCGTTCCGGAGCGCCTGCTGGTCCAGCCACAATTTTATCTCACCGTCCATCTCGTCAAAGTCATATGGGAAAAAYTTAATAGTATCATCGATTCCCACTTTGTGATCCGGGCTTACGTACATCGGCCCAATATCGACGAACTGCAACAGGCTCTTGTCACTGTCGTCCTTTAGCACAGACAACACCAATGTGGCCTCTTTGCTATATAAAAATTATAATGTATGTATTAGTTATAACTATTATACTATATGCACAGATAACATTTAAAAAAACCCCATTTAAACAACTATTATYAGCGCAGATGTTGTAAAAAAATATAAAACTAAAAATACGTTTAATACCTACTACAGGATAGGGTAGTAAAAAGAGTGATTTTCATATCTTACTATACATAATACTTAATAATATAGGAACCGYAATGAAGTAATAATTAAAGAGATTTAAATATTATCACGAGATAAATCATGATAGAATTTAAGCCACCAATGTATTTTTGAAAAAAAATTAAGGATCGACTTATTATTATAATAATTGTCTTCCGGTATAGAATCAGCAGATCAGCCTGTGAGCTATTTATGTTGATTAGCGACTATCTAGAAACTATTTTTGGAGCACATTTTCAAATTCAAATTCCAGAAAGTATAAATACTATCTAAAAAATTGTATGCGTGACGAAACGTCGGACACGTGTTTATAATGCAGTAATGCACAGACAACATTAAAAATAAAAACTGCGTAAATTATGATAATGTTCAAAACCGTGATAATTATTACGTATTGCCGCATTGGTAGTTTAAAAATAAAATATATAGTATATACAATATATATATATATATCGTAGTTGATTAAAAAGTTTTTTGTTTATATTTTATTGTAAACCATTACATTTTCTGTTTTAATGTTTTCCTAACCGATCCTTATTCGTATTGATTTAATCATAATTGGTATATTTAAGAGCTCTATATTATTATTATAATATTATAAGGTACCTACCCAATCTTTTCCATACCATATAGAGTCAAAAATGCAGGATCTTTACACAGTAACTTAGGGTTTTCAGGATTGGCGCTACGGAAAAACCCGTAATAGACGACTTTATCACTCAGATCCTCGATAATCGGTAACACTTTGTTTGATTTGTTAATATCGAAAATCATAAGGTACTGAAAAAAAATAATATGTCGGCAGGTTATTTATAATATACTGTATAGTGAGTGTATTAGTGTATAATAAATATGTTAATATGTAATTTGTTTTGGGAATTCGCCTCAATGACCAGCGTAACAAATAAGTTGTTATATAATAATTAAAATAATTTATAACATTATAGATTTCTGTATACATCATAAAATATAGGAAACAAAAAATCYGACCATGTATGTGTAATAAAACTAGTTCTCTAACCTGTGGTAAAGGTGGCTTGGGTGCGACGTATCCATTGTTTCGACAGAATTTGTAGAACAAAATGGTGAGTGCTGAAGCTTTACTTAACGGATTTCTAGGAGTGTATATTGATGGTTTTTTTTGTCCGTATTTGTTTATTACTGTATGTAAACCTGCAAGTCTATATTAAATTTGGTCACCAACTGAAGTGACGTTAAAAATTGAATTGTTGTAATAAAAATATATTTATGTGTAAATATAAATAAATATTATAATGGTTCCTCATAAGTAGTTAATTTACCTATTAAAATACACAATATAAACACAATTTTATTTTATAAGTATTTGATGTTACAATTTTAACAAAATTTGTCAAAATCGTGAAAATGTACATATAATTTTGTAGTTATAATTTATAAAATGTTCAATTTTAGATTCTGAGCGGAGCGA